GTAGCGCTCGTCGGCCGCGGGGTGTGGAGGCAGGCGGATGGGGTGGGATAGGCCGGCGGTTGCACATAAGGTGGATTAGATCATGCTTGAGAGGAGGAAAGAAGGTTGGGAGAAAGAAGATTAAGTGTGAAGGGTTGGATTTAGATCTAACGAACAGGAAACTAAATGACTGATGCCAAACATCTTTTCAAGTACCTGACATTTAGACGCTCCTAAGACGTTTTAAACATCTTATATTTTTTGTTTGCGGATGGAGTAGCCTTTTTAACGGTTTACGTATGCATCAAGTAGGTGTAGGTCCACTGACTTGCCCGGTAAGCCGGGCCCCTGGAGTGACCACGGCGACGCGTGCTCCAATCTGCAGAAGCTACAAGTCGGAGAAGCGGCCGACTGGCACGGCAGAGAGTGTTGATCCCTTCCTCCTGACAGGAACCTCCCGTTACTATAATCATTTAAAGAGCTCTGACTAACTATGTACCCCGACTCGGCGAAATTAGACCCCTTCCTCGCTCGTCAACATCACCATTCCTTCTCAAACACTAATCCTTGATGTCGTACCCCCACATGCAGGCCGCATGAAGCTTCTTTTCCCCGTGTGTATCTGATATCTCCTCCTATATAATCCACCGTTGCACTGCGATCCTCGTACTCATCCCTAACCAGCTCACTGCAATCTCCATCGAAAATCATACACCCATCAGCCCTTTCTCGCGCTTACATACACAGGCAACGATCGATATGGCCATGGCTATGTGGAGAAAGAAGGAGGCGGCCGGAGCCAGCGGCGGCGCCGCCCCGGCATGCGTTGTTCGCTCCGCCGGCGAGGGCGGGGGCAAGATCCCGAAGGGCTACGTCCCGATGGTCCTCGTCGGCGACGAGGGAGAAAGGGAGGAAAGGGTGCTGGTTCACGTCGGGATGCTCACGGAGCCGCGCGTCCTGGCTCTGCTGGAGATGTCCGCGCAGCGGTTCGGGTACGGCCAGCGGGGCGTCCTGAGGATCCCGTGCGGCGTGGAGCGGTTCGAGCAGACGGTCCGTGGCCACCGGCGGGAGACGCAGGAGCCTGCGTGCGCGGCAGCACACTAGGAGAGAGCCAACGGCCACAATTTTTCAATTTTTTATTTTTTCGCGGGGAATGGCCATGGTTTTTTTGCTGTACAGTCGTTGAATTGCCTTTGTGGTGTCAATATTTCTTTCTTTGTTACTCCCTTTGTAAACTTTTCTGTAATCTTTTATAAGATCGTTTATAGATCACTAAAGTATTATGTTTTGTTTAATGTTTCTTAGCTAAACATTGATATAAAGTTACTCGTTGACACGGTCTTTCAATTGTGTATATACATGAATATGAGGCTTTCATTAACAATATCCAAAACCATAGTAATCTCTCATCGTGCAAAAGTCTCCATCCAAAATTCAAATAAAATTAAACTAAAACCATGACAATAGCTATGAAACGGAGGAAATATACAACTATAAATGGTGAACGAGGTTTCTTCAAAATACCGAAGTATACAACTATAAATGGTGAATGAGTTTTTTCAAAATAACATAGTAATACATTCAACCGTTCCACTAGATTGAGATGATCAAAGAGATAATGGTGAACGAGGTTTTTTCAAAATACCGAAGTGTGGTTATCGTCTTTTCCACGGTGCGACTCTGACTCCAAGAGAAAAAAATGATTTACTATGTGTAACGATTAACATCAATTTGTATCAACTCATTGCACTTCCTAGCTATGACCATGGTGAGCATAAGCATCTATTCCCATTTATGATATTTAACCTGCCTTATGCTCCGAAGCGATTTTTACATATGCCTTAATTTTCAATAGGTTTTATAGGACTCCAATACGACGTTGCAGTCATGCTCTAGATTGTGCACGTTGTGCGGCGAGCCGAAGAGCGACCGAGCGCAACCATGCCATGTCGGTGAACTCTACAGAAGGCATCACGCAGAGACATCTAAAGGGTATCCTATATATGATAATTATCAAATAAAGCAGTAATTAGTATAATAATAAGACAATAAGGCAGAAAGCTACCAAAAAATTATATCGTAAACCAGATTGGCCGTCTTCTTCATTCGAGTGTACGCCAACTGTTGGAGACTGAAATTACACGGAACCAGCGATAATGGAAACAGATACCTCGAAACACCCTCATCATACTTAGGCTTTTGAGATCTCAATAATCACTTGCCACTACAAACGAGATCTAATAATGCTGAAGAAACATCTGTTAGGACATCACCCAAGGCAACCCAGACTTGTAATCCATTGCAGGCATTAGAGATGTCCTTATTTTGAAAAATTATGAGGGCATTATGAGTAGACATTAAAAAAATTGAGTTTGGCAAGGCTTGATCCTCAACTCTACCTTAATACTCTAGCGTTATCGAAGGGTGTGTCTCCAGGGGATCTTCGGAGATTTGATCGGTCGGTGCTGATCTTTGGTGGATCTTTTTGGATCCAGTCTTCGTTCGTTTGTTCACACGTTGGATCCTTTCAATTTATGATTCTCTTCAACGCAACAATTAATGTTCTGATGTTGGTCCCGTGGGGCCTTGGCATGACGGCTTCCAGACTATTTACTACAATAAGTTTCGCAAATGTTAACGCCCACACGTGTGGCACAAAATAACATGGTCCAAACGCCTCCACTATCATTCATTTTATCACATCAAAACAGATGACATCAGCGGGAATCTTTTTGGTTTTCGGCATAAAATGTTTTATCTTCTAATTAAAAAATCTAATTAAAAATCCGTTTTCACCATTAAATACGTCTCGGCGAGATCTTCAAACTAGATCACATGTTGATATGTTTCGATGAATTATTTTTTGACCACAAGTTGCCATAATGCTTACACTGTAGTTGCCATAGTGTTACACTAAAGTTGCCATGTGGCAATTTAGTTTATAGACCATGGCAATTTTAGTATTTGGACCATGGCAAATCTAGTACTTTGACCATGAAAATTATTTTTTGTATGAACCATGGCAATTTTAAGTGCATGTATCATGGAAATTTTAGTTTATGATTCATGGCAAGTCTAGTTTCTTAATTCCCCGTTTTATAATATGTTAAAATTTACTTTTAAATGTAGAAGAAAATAGCTGAAACATATCATGGCAACTTCAGTGTAAAACCATAGCAATTCATGTACAATAGACATAACAACTTTTTAAAAGTCGTCGAAACATATTGATATGAGATCTAATTTCGAAGATCTCGTCGCGATGGATTTAATGGTAAAAATTGATCTTCAATTGGATTTTTCATTAAAGAGATAAAACAGTTCTAAAAGTGGAAATTCAAAAAGATTCTCACATACATGCATGCACGCGGTGACGTGTAGTATCTGTGTTATAGAGCATATGGGCGGGTGTCACTTCCACCACACGTGTGGACGTTATCAGTGTCCATAAGTTTTCTCTGACTTCGATGAAGAAGGGGTAATGATGACAGTGCCCTACTCGCTAGTGGTGGAGCTACGACAAGGCCAAAGTGGCCGTGGCCCGCCCATGATATGTATGTTTTTTCTTTCATATATGCATCGGTAGCCCATAAACCTGGTCTGCTTACAGATAACACCTAAGCCCCTAAATCCCTCTACGCTCCATTCAGTGAGAGATTCGCACGACGCCAGCCATGGAGCAGTATTATGTGCCACAAGGAGCAGCCGAGGAGCAGCGGCAAAACAAGCATCAACGGCCACTAGCTGGCCAGCATCATCCATCGCACATTTGCACACCCAAGGGACGACGGCTTTGCCGTGCGTATCTCTACTCCTGCGTATCTCTACTCCTAACGGACGAATTGGTGAATCGTCTGCACAGTTTATTTTCGTTGGGTTTTTTTCGTCTCTCCTCCCATCACCCCTCCCATCCTGGTCAACAGTTTATTTTTGCTGGGTTTTTTCGTCTCTCCTCCCACCACCCCCTCCCACCCTGATCCACCGGTTTATTTTTCTCTCCACTCTTTATTACAACCAGAACTTTCCTAATGTATAACAAATCATGGATCTAATTTTCTTAAATTATGCAAATCAATCGATTCCTTTTATTGGTTCAATTTGTCTTAGTAAACAAATAACAGATTTTCAGGAAATAAATAATACATTTTAACTAACTTCCTTAAATTATGCAAATCAATCGATTCCTTTTATTGGTTCAATTTGTCTTATAAAACAAATAACAGATTTTCAGGTAACAAATAATACATTTTAATCTAACTTTCTTAACTTATCTAAATCAATCGATTTCTCTTATTAGTGAAATTTATTTTAGGAAATAAATAACAGACACGTCACAACTTTTCTCCCAATAAATAGTTTCTTAACATTTGCAAACTTTCCTAATCAGACACGTCACAAACAGGGAGGTACTGATATCACGTTAGCAAACAATAAAACCCCATTTCCATATAAATCAGTTCAAAAATCCTAACTTTCCTAATTTTTTTACCTTTCCTTGATAACAACTGATACCTCCTATGTTTTCCACCTATTGAAGGAAATCACCCCTCCATCGATATTAGCATTTTTTTGAACTAAGATCTCCGGGTTATGATTATTTTTTATGATTCTTTCCAATTGTGACCTCTCATTCCACTCTGGCTCCTTCTCGCATAAACACCTCCACCACAGCCAGGTGACACCGCCCTAGGCCTCCTGCCTCTCCACACCTTCTCCGCCACCTCCTTCTCGTACTCCATTAACAATCCCTCCGCCACATTTGTCCACGCGGTGTCGAGGGCATGGCGCAGCAGCGTACCAGCGGTAGAGCAGCGCATAGCAGCAGGAAGCAACACGCAGCAGGCGAGACGAGCGGCCGATGGTAGAGGGCAGAGATGCGGCCGACGTGGCTGAGGCGGCGGCCGGCAGAAGATGGCCACGACTGGAGGCGGCGCGAGGCAGGGGCGCGACAGCGGGGCGAGCGAAGGGATAGGCGGCAACACACTGGGCGAGCGCAGCCAGCGAGAGTGTGGCGCGTGGTCAGGGTGTGTGTCGCGCGGGGCACAATGGTGCGGTGGCTGCAGCGAGCGTGACGGCAGCGGCGGGCGCGACCGACGCGGTGTAGCACGAGCATGGGCATGGAGAGGGAGTGGCCCCACGGGCGCGGAAGAAGAGCGGCAGGCTCGGGCATGGGCGTGCATAGGAGCGGGATGTGCCACGGGGTCAATCCGAGGAGCTCGGTGGCTACCCCTGCAATGGCCATGGCGGACGGCGGTTCTCGGCCACGGCGAAATACCTAACGAGAGGGGAAACATGGGAAAGGCAAGAGGAGATCATGGCGGCGTCAATGGCGCCCTAGGGGAAGACACGGGAGCTCGGGGCGGCGCGGATTGGACGACAATGTCGCGGTGGCCCAAGGTTGAGGAAGACGGCAGCGACATCGATGCGGGGATGCTGGACTTGATCTTGTTGGCGCAGACGAAGTAGCGAAGGCGTTCAGAGCTACTCGATAAGCTCCTAGCCCGCAGGGAGGGCAGTGGCCATGTGGACAGGGTCAGTCATGGTGGCCGTGGCGTCTGACTTCGTCCAGATCGACGGGATCGAGCGAGCGAGAAGGAGAAGTGGATTTGGGAGGGGGCGTCAAGGAGGAGTGAGGCCATGGGGGCAGGGAAGAAAGGGTGTCACCCTTATCCATTTCCCTTCGATGCCAGCGAGGTGGTTGTTGGAAATATGCCCTAGAGGCAATAATAAAAGGATTATTATTATATTTCCTTGTTCATGATAATTGTCTTTTATTCATGCTATAATTGTGTTATCCGGAAATCGTAATACATGTGTGAATAATAGACACCAACATGTCCCTAGTAAGCCTCTAGTTGACTAGCTCGTTGATCAAAAGATAGTCATGGTTTCCTGACTATGGACATTGGATGTCATTGATAACGAGATCACATCATTAGGAGAATGATGTGATGGACAAGACCCAATCCTAAACATAGCATAAGATCGTATAGTTCGTTTGCTAGAGTTTTCCAATGTCAAGTATCCTTTCCTTAGACCATGAGATCGTGTAACTCCCGGATACCGTAGGAGTGCTTTGGGTATACCAAATGTCACAACGTAAC